TTATCATATTAAATTATGATAAAGTCACAATTTCATATCATATAAAAAATTTATTTAAAATTGGTATATTGAAATATTACACATCAAATGTTAAGAGACTCAGATGATATTATGTTCAACTTTCCTAGTCCTCGTTGAGTGTCTTGTCATACATAAATCATCTGGGTTTTTAAAAGTTTAGAACAATAATTGATATTTTTCGATTATACCTTGATCTACGTTAATTTTAAAAATAAATCAGCTTCATGTTAAATAATTTAAAAAATTGGTATCTTAGATTATTCAACGGTTTTTCAATACGTACATATCATTAAAATTAGATGTCTTCAAGTAAGAAATTAAAAAGTATATTTTGTTTTGGGATAAAAATGTGGTTATGATAAGTGAGTACAAAATAATTCCTAAAAATTTCGTTTTTACACACACCATACACAGATACAAAGCTTAAGGAGCTAATCTGGTAATGAGTTTGAGCGGTAGGCACGATGACGGAGAATCGAAGAGAACTTTGAAATGGAGCGCGCTTATCAGTAAAGACGATTATTAAAAAAATTTCTTCAACCAATTCTGCCAGCTGATTGGCTTCTCTTCTGAAACAAGATGTGAATATTTTTTCAAGGATAGATAAAGCATCTGTAAAAGAGCAGGAAACCAAAAACCGCGAATTCGCAGACAGGCCGTGAGAGTTCCCTCATTCATAAAGGAAGCAAACTAAGATAAACTGAATTTGCTTGATCACCGATTAACATATTTCGAGATATATAATATTATGCATGCAAGGTTCCTCAAACTAATAGTTTGATTTCAAGGCTCGCGATCGAGTGAACCATTTTGATTTTACTTCACCTTCCTGAAAAAATAGTCATACTGTTTTTCTAATATCCGGTTTTAACAGTGTATCTCGTTATAACAGTTTATCTGCAGAAGAATGACACATATGGGAAGAGATATAAACTAATTGATCGAATGAAATTCTCCTTCAATTCATAACTTCCCCAGCACGTACGTCTTCGGCGACTGTGAGAGGGTCCTATGAGAAAAAACGCAGAGAAGCAGTACTCATGACACTCGAAACAAACTAAATTTTTATATACTTAACACACGCAACATATCGATCAACTCTCTGCAGACCGGTTTTAATAACTTTTTCTATACGAATGCAACAGTATGTTAAAGAAAGGGAGGGATTCATATATGTATATATGAAATGTCCAGTTACATATCATATTTAAAGAAACCGCTATAAAATCACACATAGAAGAAGTGAAACCTCCAGGTCATAGAGAAACCAAAAATAGGGGTGCCGGGGGAAGAATGTATTATATAATTATACTGTTATATATATACTGACCTATATGACTATGTATATGAATTAAAGTTGAAGTTGTTCATAGGCTTGATGAATGTGAGTATCATCCAGAGGAAGCAAGGGAATTTGAGCAAACTCAGAAACAAAGCCTTCCAAATCTGAAAACCCACCCAGGTAGCCACCTGTAGACGCTTCTTCCCTGCAAACCCCAACTTGTTCTTCTTCTTCTTCCTCCTTCATCACCAGTCTCTCCCCTACTGTTGACTGATAATCGTCGTGCAGCCCCTTACTGCCCACTTTAATAGGCTTGTCGGAGGTGAGGCCGCCGGCATTCGATCTCGTTGCGTCTTGATATGCTGCCGCTGCTGGCATCTTCTGACCACGTTTTTCAGCAGATGGTTTTCCGGTTAACCTCTGCACAAGTTCTCGGAAGTTGCCAACATCGGTCTTGATGATCTCCGGTGCAAATATGTGAATTATGCGTATCTTGGGCTTCGTTTTCGCTATTGCCTGCGAATTCTTGTTGGTGGATAGGGAAGGCCTGTTTGAGACGGCCATGCAAGAATTCTGCTGTCTGGGTTTGATCTCCATCAAAAGAGTGAAATAATTAGGGCACAGACACAGATAGGAGAATCGAGGGTTTGAGAGATCTGTGATATTGTTAGAATTTAAAGAGAGAGGAGAGATCATATACACATTTATATAATGTTGGAAAATAAGAAAAAGAGGCAGCTGTACGTCTGTTGGGGGCAAGGATTAGATGAATCCCTTTCTGACGTCAAATGCAAGAGACACTTAATAAAGTAATTAATTGGAACACTATATGGTCCCCAGTCTTCTACTTTTGATTTTAAATACCAAACATTTGTATATTTATAGAATGTAAATATGTCAAGAAACAGACACATCATATGTTCTTTGCAGGCATCCCTCTCTGAAATGATCAGAAACGATATGTAAATATATATATATATATATATATAGAATTTTTGTTTATTGATAAAGTGCTTAATTAGTTTAATAATTTAGCTATTGAATAAGATGTCATCCTCGCATTTTTTCCATCATCTTGCAGTTGAAGTGAAAAAATGGGGATAATTGGATGGAATCTGTTCATCTTAATTTGGGTGTGGGATTGTTCTGCTCCCTGCAAAACTGGGAACTGTACTTTAGGACATATGAGCTGATAGTTACGTACGTATTGTAATTATATGTTAGGAAAAGAAAAAAGAATCAGAAGCATGAGACCTATGGAAGAAACTGGAAATTAAAGGGACGCGTTGAAGTGAAGAGAACTAAATTAAGGTAGGAAGAAATGTGGCAAAGGATAATTATAAGTCGAACTGCACGAAGTTGGAAATTAAGAATAAATTAAACAGCCAATGTCCAAGCATTAATTTAGAAAATCGACAACCATACGCAATCACCATTTCACTAAAACTCTCCAAAACCAACCCCATGCCTCTCTCTCCCGCGTCTCTCTTGAGATATAATTATAACCCGACCCAACTAATTAATTCTCGTTATCCAAATAAACAAATAGGTTATTGCAAATAAAACGCCAAGTATTAATATATGTATGTGCAGTATTATAAAGGATCAAGATATGCCTTCGTAATTAAGAACTAATGACGTAGGCCTTTAGGCAGCTAGAAAAGTTAGATCGATTATAAATTTAGAAGGTTCGGGTAAATGCAGATGAAATTAATTAAACCACTAAAACCTCTAATCCGGTATATAGCATCCTTTCCCCTTGTTGAAGGGGCGGAGTACTATGTATTTGATAAAGAAAATCAATTTGACACTCGAATTCCATGAAATGAAAGCCATGACTGCTAAAAAGAATAATAAAAGAAACCAATAATAAATATCGGGACATATACAAATTTTAATATATTATATTCTTATATGGTTTTTTAATTAACAAGCATTTCATGAATGGAGAAATTTTGGTTCCAAGAAAAAGGGGAATCTGGAAAGCCACCTGTCTTGTGCGTGAACAAGAGTGATGCTAACATTGATCACAAATTAGCCAAATATTCGCGATGAGCACAGTTGGCAAAAGAACCTCAAAAACAAAACAAAGTTATTTCATTAAAGAATTGGAAATTGGAATAATTGGCGATATTGGCTTTCACGTAGCATAAACAGGCAATAACGTGTAGACGCGTCTGTCACAACTCGCTTCATGCCTGAGCTTCCTCCACCCAAACAATCAGAATCTCCAACCAGTTTTAATCTTTCTGTTCATATATAATTCTGTGGGGTATGTAAATGTTGGCAGAAGGTTAGAGGGAGAAGTTAAGAGGTTGATGTGGGATGGATGGACGACCACGTGAAATTATCTAAGCAATAATTTTCAAAAATTACGTCAAGTCTCGAGTGAGATGTGAAATTACATTAGACCACACGATGCAAATATGTAGAGCTGTTTTATAATTTCTGATTTCTTCATAAAACTAAAGTACCGCACATGCTTCCATGTGGAGTGGATTCTGTATATCAATTTTTTGACGTACCCGGCCACCCCCGCCACGATCTCTTACCAAGTCTTTCCCACTTTTAGTTTCATATGTGTTCATCATTACTCTTTACCCACCTTTATCCATTTCTAACTGCTCTCCCATATGCATTATATTCATCTCTCACTACCTCGTCAATAATTTTTTTACAGACTTCTTTTTTTTTTTTTTTACCCTTTTCGATCAAAACTGATCAGAGGGACCCTATATGGATGCTCTGCTGGATGTTTTTGGAGAATTTTCATGTTCTTGCCAGTAAGTAGTCTCTCAAAATTGATGGGCCCGGCTGGGTGGCTCAAAACCAAAAAGAAGAAGAGAATTTGCGTTACAAGCTACAACTAAGAGTCGTAGTAGCTCAACCTGTAATAATGTGACAGATATATTGAATTAACCAGGTGACCATGGTGGGCTCTGGATACAATATTCATAGTCATACATATGCACTATATATCAATTATTAATAATTTATCAATAGTAAGACACCAAGACTTTTAACACATGAAGATTGGAGGAGCATGTACTCAATTTCCAGGAGTCCGAAACGGATGTACACAAGGAGATCTAGAGACATGGTTAAGCAAGCCATGGGCTGAACCCGAAGGTAGTTGGACAACAGCAATAATACTCCCCAAGGAGGCTGTTCTGACACACAAACACACACCTCTGGACGCTGGTCATGGTCCAATTTCAATGAGCATTCCCTCACACACACACACGGTCGTACAGGTTAATTAATTACCCGAGCATTTTGCTATAAACTCGTCTCTTCTTTTCCCACTTCTTCTTCAAGATTATGACGTAGTTTAAGTCGGACGTTGAAAGAGATCGAAATCAGATAAGGGAGCAGACACAGAGAGAGAGAGAGAGGCGTAGTGATTGGTGGCAGTTTACTAACGAAAAGAACTTCCCCAAACTTCCATGCAATGCTACATTTGCTTCCCAGCAGACACGTGGCACTAACGTGTCTGATGATGGACCGCATTGCCTTCACAAACATGACACGCGAACTCTTGTTGCCACACGTGGCCCGCAGCATTTGTGGCCCCTATATCTATATAAGCGTGGCCATCATGTTTAGCCTAACGCAAAACCAACCGTATCTGAATCCAAAAATCAGCCGTTAAGTTTAAGCTCGAAACATCATACGAGAGAAGAATCGTCAAATCACAATGCAGAAAGCGAAGCAAGCTGCGGAGTCGATGAAGGAAACGGCCGCCAACATTGGCGCCTCTGCCAAGTCTGGCATGGAGAAGACCAAGGCCACCGTCCAGGAAAAGGTATGCAACATCGATCACATTCACCGTTAACACATCGACAGAAACAAAATATACATAATGTATCAATAATCCGGGATGGAAGTCACCGAGATTTGTTAATTTGCCTGACCGATGTTGTTGGAACTCTAACAGAAGGACAGGATGACGGCACACGATCCGATGCAGAAGGAGATGGCAACAGAGAGGAAAGAGGAGAGGATGCGTCAGGCGGAGCTGGATAAGCGGGAGGCGCGTGAGCATAACGTGGGGTCCAAACAGGCGGCCACAGCACTGCCGGGAGGCCAAGACGGGAACTATACCACGGGGACCGGGACAGGGCCGACGGCCACGTACTCGACGGCCACAGGGGCATATGGACACCCGTCTGCAGGGCAGCAGTTGTCGGCAATGCCGGGGCATGGGACGGGACAACCGACGGGAGGACATGTGGTGGAAGACGTGGACGTGGTCAGAAGCCGCAATACGCAATATGGAGGGAACAATAATGCACCGGGCTATGGCACTACTAGGTCTGGGGGTAGTTACAGTTAGATAATAACTTGTTCAACGTAATTAAGCAAGTGGTTTTCCTAGGTTTCGCATTTGGGTAGGGTTGTCTCTGCGGAGTCTCCCATCCACTGAGATGGTGGTGAGACCTTCACTTATGTTTTCTGTTTTTCATTTCGCTGTCTTGTAACTACATATGTACTTTTTTTCTTTAGTCCGTAGAAGTGTCTGGTTGTGACCATGTGCTTTAATTTGATGCGTGTTTTCCTTTGAAGTGAGCCAGCGAGTGCAGATTTCTCCGTCTGTGAAGATGAATGAAGAGAACTTGGCATGCTTCATTTCTCGCGGGGCTTATAAAAACCCCATTAGTTATATATGACCACCGCTCCTCAATATAAAAATTAATTGATTAATTTAAATAAATTAAAAAAAATTAGTTAAATAAGCTATTGGTAATAAATAAGTACTCCTCCCGTTTTAAATATAAGACTCATTTTGTAATGTAATTTACACTACAAAATAGGTCTTATATTTATGATCGAAGTAGTATTTTTTTTCTTAAAATATTCTTACTAGTCAAGTGTAATAACTAAAACTACCATTATTAGAAGGATTATTTTGAAAAAAGATAGATAAATATGAAAAATAAAATGAATTGAAATCTTATATTGAGGATCAAAATAAAAATCAAATGAGTTTTTATATTAAGAACGGAAGGCAGTAAGATATTGAAATCTTGTCACACATCAATTCTCACCGCCTTCTAATTAACTAACTTGACTAAATCAAAAATATTAGCTAAATTAGTTAACATATCAATAGAGTTATTGTAAAAAAAAATTGATAACATATCAAATAAATCTTACATATAATACCAATATTAACTTCTTAATTAAGTTCTGAGTTAAGAACATGAGAAGTATTACATATGGGTGATTGATACATCTTGTATCATTTATAGTTGACTCTGTATTATCCTCCTAACCCAGTTATGTCCTCTCTCTTTTTTTTTGAGTGTATCAGGTACTTGATTCTGGGCACATTGCGAGAGAAGACGACTAAATGAAAGCTACAACATGATTTGAGAAATGAATTGGACTATTTATCACTTATTAAAAATATATTTGTTAAAATTTTATATTATATATGGGCGGTCTAGCTATCTTGAAAGTGTCCGTGTGAAAGACGTAAAATTTATATTGGATTGTTAGGGACAGATTTTGAAGCTAATAAGGCTGATTCATCTCCTCGTACGCAAATTATGATAGTTGGACTGTTATGGGATAAGGATTACAAAGTCCAATATTATTCTGCATTTATATCCTAACAATTTTTAGGAAACAAAATACTACCTCCGGTCCTTAATATAAGATTCTGTTTGATTTTTAGTTTGGTCCTAATTATAACATCTCAATCTATTTTGTCTCTCATATTTATGCATTTTTTTAAAATAGTCCTTCTAATAATGATAATTCTATTAATTAGCAATGATATTTTAGAAATGACAACATTTATTTATTACAACTAACTAATTTAACTTACTTTCTTAATCTTCTCAAATTAGTCAATTAAGTCTTATAATTAGGACCGGAAGTAGTATTCAATTTTTTTTTTTTTCACTTGCAATTCTTCGTTGCTAAATTTCCTTGGCGCGACGTCATTGTAGTTGACGTTGGCTTCTCCCACAAGAAAATGCTCTCATGGCGACACACATCAAAAACACTGCCTTCCGCCGGTGAAAGCTTCGCTGCTTTACCCACGGCGATGTGAATCATAGGGTGTGTTTGGATGACACCCCAAACCATAGTTTGGGGAATAAATCACCCAAACACCCCCAAAAACCAAAATCATGGTTTTGGAAAAAGCAAAAATTTTTGCTTTTGGAGAGAAAAAAGGAGAGTGTGAGAGCCTATATGATATGTATCTTGTTATTTTTTTATAAACATATTTTTTATAAACATATTTAATCTTATATTTTATAAATATATATACATATTAATTATTTATTAATTATATTATCTTATGTATTATTAATTATGTTGGTATAAAATATATTATTAACAATTTTATTCCTTCAAATTAAAATATATCATAAAATCTATTTTTTCTGTAATTATCATATTAACTTATGTTTTTTTTAGTAATTTGAATATATAAAAAGTGCTTCTGATAACAACTATCCAAACACTCTCACTTCTCAGAATCACTTTTTTACAAAATCTATTCTTCACAGAATCTACTCTCCCCAGAATCTATTCTCCAGAATCACTTTTCCAAACCACGGTTTGGTTTCATCCAAACACACCCATAATATTTAATGATTAAGATAATGATTTATTCACAACTTCTGATCCCAATTTAATTAAATAATTTTACTAGTTATCACATAAATTATTCTTAAATTTTTTGTCACATATTTGCAACATTATAAATTCATAATTATTGATTTGATTGGTAATGTTGTTTATCGCACAATTTAACTCCTGAGATATGCATTAAAAAATTAATTTGATTATTTTAGAAAAAAGGTTAGTTTTTTTTGCCCGCCAAAAAAAAAGGGCAAATTAAGTTTCAAGAGAAGGCTCGTCATCCGAGATCCATGACCCAGTGGACAAGGCGCGGATTCCTGAACCAGTATTTGGACCTTTTAATTTAATTATTTTTTCTAAAAAACCTATTTAAAATAACTTATAAACAATTTTTTAATTATAATTTTAAAATACGATTTAAATATGAAAAAAAATATCTCACATTTTAAAAGTAACCCCAAACGAGAGCTAAATCAACAAATTTTAATTGAAGATTTGAAGAAAACCATTTTGTTGATAAAAAATTAAAATAAAAAAAACCTGGCTCCTATTTTATAATTTGACCAAAACATTGTCGATGGGGATTGGCGCGTTAAGAAACAGGCGAACCGGACGGTGCATTCACAAATGCCAATTAATTTAAGGGTGAAGAAGCGCTCAGCACCCTAAATTTATTTTACAGGTGTATTTAATACCTTAATTTTTTAAATGGTGCAATTTTATCCTTCATTTTTTAAATTTGTAGCAATTTTAACTATGACTAACTTTGCATTAAACTCCATTTAGAAACCTTGACACATAGCCTTTTTTTTTTTTGAAAACTTCCACGTAAGCACAAGACATGAAGAAGGCTGATCTGAATCCTTTTAAAAAATTTATTAACTTGTATTTTTTAACTTTGAAATTTGATCAAGAACCCTAACGCGCAGGAACTTGGTGGCCGCTTGTACCTGTGGTCTTCATCAACTTGGTGGGCTCTTTTCTTCCTGTCATTTTCAACCAACACATCAAATGCCACGTCATCTTCGTCCCATTTCACATCATCTCCTAGATTCCCATCTCCTTCCATTTTCTGAATAAAAAAACCTTTTTTTAGTAAACCCTGTTTGTTTTTTTATGGCTTCAGTGGGACTATAGAAGGAAAACAAAACCAATACAAATTCATTCTTACCTTTTAATCGATCTTTCCTTTATGCTCGAAAATGAATTTCCTCACCTGATTTTGATGCTTCTCTACTCTTCGACTGCTATTTGCATGATGCTTCTCCACTCTTCTTTACATGTTGAAATATTGAAGGGTTTTTTTCTAATTGAAAAACCTAAGCTTATGTAAAAATTTCATTATTATTAGGTGCCATGTCAATATGCTTACCGGGAAGTTTTCAAAAAAAAAGAAGCCATGTGCCAAAGTTTTTAAACAGAATTCAATACAAAGTTGGCTCTGATTAAAATTGCTCCAAATTTAAAAAATGATGAATAAAATTGCACCCTTTAAAAGATTAGGGTATTGAGTGTGCCTGCAAAATAATTTTAGGGTGTTAAGCACTACTTCGCCCTTAATTCAATTAATTCGAATTCCAAGCAGAACTTAAAATCGAACTACTAATTTTTCACAAATAAAAGGATAGCTCGAGCCCTTAATTTCATTTTCATAAATGCAGAGAGCGAATTATCACATATTAGATTCGACCGGTCCACCAAACACTAGAGACTAACAAAACAAATAAAACGAAGGCTAAAAAGCAAAGATAATGGAAAATTTGCAACTAGAAAGGCCGAAAAAAGAAGTCGGGAGAAAAACCCTAATATGGGAGGTTCAGTCAGTAGCACCAATTCGCAATGCACAACAATGGCCTAATACCCCGGGGGGGGGGGGGGGGGGGAGATAAACCGTATCCAACCACAGTGAAATTCATACTCCTGCTTTACGTAATTCAGCAGCCCCATGTGCAAAGTGACATCTTTCTCCAAAGGTGCAAGATCCTTTGGCAAAATTCTCACAGAGCTTTGTCTTAAAGTTACTTCCATGAGAGCCTGGGGCTCCTGGAACGCCATGAGTTTTAGGTGGTGCCGACATTGATAATGTCACCAGCAACTCTCTTACCATGTTGCTCGCATTCTTAATTTGCTCAAAACTACCTTCAAGTTCGATGTTCCTAAGATTTGGATCTGACTCATGATCCCGAATTGAGAGTTTGGCTCCTGTTTGGCGGCAGATCTGCTTGGAGTTCACACCCCCCTTCCCTATGATAGCTCCAGCTAATGAAGCTTCAACACTGATCTTAGCAGTAGCATTGGCACCAAAACTAGCAACAGGACCTGGAGGAGGCTCCACTCGAGCAGCTGAACGGCCAGAAATAGGTCCCATGGTACGATGATCATCCACTGATGTAGCAATATGCTTACCAAGTTCCCATTCACCATGGGCAAAGTGACACTTGTCACCAAACTTGCAGCCTTCAGCAGTATTATATTTGTTGCACATGCGGGTTTTAACAGTGGGTGGTGCAGCCCCATTAGGGACAGGTGGTGGGGCAACAATATTTCTAGATGCTGGAGGCACTGCTGGTGCCAAATTCATCATATGGGCAACAGCATTGTAACCACCAGGAACATAGTGCAAGAAGTGGCAGCTCTCACCAAACGGGCAGCCAGAGGTGCTGCAATACACAGTACAATATAATCAGATCACACCAAAATACCGAATAATTGCATAAGAATCTAGGTCACCCTTTATTTCGCTCTTTTGAGGTTAAGTTGAACATAGTATTAATAACTTATTTAGATTTCCAGTTTTCTCAACTCAGCACACACGAATATGAATTTGTACAAAGCCCGTGGATTATTTACTAAGACCTCAAGGAAGCGATAGAATAAACTTCGGATCAGCCAATCAAATAACATACTATTTATCCTGGTGGTTACACTTAACTACCTTATTCATATTGAATAATTAAAACATTGCCACCACTAAACATCACATTAACTCAGCAATATAAGGAGAAAAAATCACAAAAATTAATCGTATGAAGTAGTAGCAATAGCAGATCAAGCAGTCACCCTCTGCTCACCATGAACAAAAGAACTGAATCAGAATCAGAAGTTCGCCAAAAAAAAGGGGGGTAGAAATTTCATGAGAAAGTTCGCAAAGAGCAGCATCTTGATCAAATTTAAAACTGAATATTCCGAAAATGTTTCATACAATCAGAACAAGATTGGTCGAATGGGACTCTCTTGGAGGAAAAGACGGCAAACGCCGATTCTCATACATATATGCAGTACACATATATATATAAAAAGCAAAAGTGCAGCGCCATGATACCAGAACATAATTTTACATCATTCCCATCCCAGCTAAGGGCTTACATTAATTCATTAATATCTTACCAACTGAAAGGTGAGTTCATAAGCTGTGGATGGCACAAAAAGCTGAAATATTACCATTATATATCCTTTAACTGAGTAGGAATTGCCATTTGCACCAGTAAATAAGGCAATCACAGAGAAAAATGATCTATCTTTGATAGTATGGTTTCAATTCCAACCACCCTCCTGCATATCTTATCTTTTGGTACTTCATAAGTAAACCGCTAACATGTTAAAACTGCATTAAGAATTAAGAACAGTATGCAATTTACCTGTATAAAACTGCTTCAAATACCCCGTTAATTTGCAGTATATTACATGCTTTAGTTTTGTAGTGATTGTAGAATTAATTCTTACAAGAACTTCTTACATTATTTAGAATTTAGCTAGAGGAATAGATTAGAACCTGAAAAACTTGGTACATGGCTTCGATTTGCTTCCTACAGCAGATGATAAGGAGTCCATTTCTGTTACAAAACATTAATTACCTTTTCTCAGTTGACATTCCGTGGCTTATTAATTAAACACACCCCACCAAACTGTTAACACCTTAAAAATACTTCCACTTCTATTTGGAACAAAAAGGACATCCATGAGAAATCATATAATTAATTATTTGTCACTATTTAGATTTTATTGAAAGCAATTGTATCATCAAACATATAATCATCATTTTTTCCCAGTCAAAATCTTCTCTATCAAGCAGGGAATGTGAGTGTTTAAAATTCTTTAGGGGGTTCTAATGACAGTAATAGGCATTTTTTGAATGAGAGTAATTGGAGCCGTAATCCCCACCATACCAGCGAACCTCACTATTTGAAAGTGTAGGAAACCCCAAAAAAAAAAAAATAATAATAATTAAAAAAGCCGCTGAAAAGATCAGGGAAATTAGCACTAAACAGCTCTAAAGAACCAGGAATCTATTGTCCCAAAAAGAAAGCAAGAACGAAAGAAACGGGAAGCAATCAAATTTTGAAGTCAAGTTTTTAATGATTTTAAACCTAAGGGAAAGCAAATTAAGATGAAGAACCGGAAACTAACTTCAGTTACATCAATTAAAGTAGGGAAACCATCCCAGAAGCGGAAAAACAGACTTGCAAAACTGCCACGAGTTAATCATAAATGCTAACTTGTCCAGACAACAATAAAAGAAAAGCCACAAAAGGAATAAGCAGAAAACAATATGCTTTTGAAACATATCAAAAGACAGGACTCGTCGAAACACAGAAACCTTCAACGCTTAAAAAGAGTGAAATTCGGAAGCAGAAGAGTAAGAAAGCTAAATTGCAAACCTTGCTTGGACTTTTTGGAACCGCCATTAACATTGGGTCCACCTTCAACCCTCGCTCTCTTGCGGGCATCCATTTATGCAAGAAGTAGATCGAGATCGGAATAAGAGGACGGCCTCTCTAAGGAAGAGAAAATTGAAGAAGCAACCCAGAAAAGAAAAACCTAAAATTACAGGGAGATCTAGTGACTAGTAAACACCTGAAGAGCACGGACTATGGGAAGGCGGAAAACCCTAGCCCAAACCCTAGAAGAGGGTTTTAAGGACAAGGAGCTATGGAGGCTTCGAGAGAGAGCAGCAAAGGCGCAGAAAGGATATAATATAGCAACAATAAGGCAGTGGTGTAGATTACAGACGCAATGAATAAAAATTGAGGACCTTTTTTCCTTTTTCTCTATCAACAAAAATTTAGGATCTTATTACGGTTAGGGTTAAGGCAATTTATTGTTTTGAGTTGGATTCCGCGGGAGAAAAAGAAAGGGAGAAAACAACTCGGCGTCACGCACAGTGCCCACGATCCCTCTCACGTGCTCCAATCGTGGACCGCTAGATCGTTAGAAATAGGTAAACCTAGCAACGTCATGCTTCCTACTTCTTATTTTCCTGCTCTATTATTCCCACCGTGCAAGTTAAAGATATTCATTTGAAAATTTCTTATCCTAAAATTATTCAAAATGTTTTCTCAAAATTATAAATTATAATTTTTTAATCTAAATTGATTTATTTATAATTTTTAATATAATTTTAAAATTTAGATTTAAAGTTTATCGTTGGCCCAAAGTAACCAAATTGTCCATGGGTGGGTCCAAAAACTCCTACATGCACCAGGAATTTAACGATACTTGAGCCTCTCAATTTTTTTTTTTCCTACAGAACTTAGAAACTCCTCTCGGTTAAAAAACGCTTACACGTCACTCACCAACAAAATCTTTACATAGGCGGTGAGATTTAAATTTATGGGCCATTCTCTACTCCGCCTAACAGGAACCTCATGGACCGCCTTTTATAGTGCCACTTCCCTCTTAATTCGTTACAACTAGAACCAACGAAAGATGTTCCAGATGTGTTTTTTGACATTAATTAATTTATTTCAGCTACCACGTCATCCTCTTTTTCAGATTTGCCTGAAAAGGAATGAAAATACGACATAATGTATGCTTTGTGCCAAGAAAATATTCAGAAATCTTGAGTCAATGAACTTCCGACCCTACGGCCCACACCCACACGGTGACACAACTCGAATTTAGCCACTGCTATAACTGCACTCAAGGAAGCGTAAGTTAGCGGTAGAATTCTACAACAGGTTGGCTCTGATCTGGTACAACCAAAACGACATCGCTGATTTTCTTTCATGTTAAATAATTCCAGATGTTATAAATGGCAAGAGCATTGCATATATGTGCACATCACGAGACAGATTAAGGGACGTCACCTTTTCTTTAACGCCATAACTATAATACCTCAGTTCTTCACATGGGGAAAAGTTACTCCGTCAAAATTTGAACTGAAGCCTTAAATCAGCATAAAAAAATATGGATCTTACGTTCTACATCTGTCTCTCAATCTTTCGGTATCCTGAACCTCTACCGTTCTGTACTGCAGGCTCGCGTGGATGCTCCCTCTGACATAATTTTCCCATCTTGCCAAAAAGTGGTCGAGTAATTTGACCTCAACCTGTTTTTTGCATTCTGAAAACGATGAATCCAAATGTCACATGCTACAGGAGCTCGGTAACAACATATCGAACGATTTCCCGGCCCTTGGTGATTCATGGATTGACCCAGTAATCAGTGGTGACGATGGAACATTCAGATGTTCAAATCACGCTTGGCTTTGGCGGTCTTATCCAATGTCAGTATACTCCGGCAATTCTGAACAATCATCGAGGCCTGAGATTAAGCCAGCAACGAAATCATGTGGGACCATATCTATAGTTTCTGTTTCCAACGAATTTTCCTCATTTAGGACGAAGGGCAGATTGCAATCCATATAATCAACCACCGTTTCGTCCATTGCTGATGAATTAAGATCGATTCTCAGATCCTTAGCTTGAGTGATGGCACTGACTGGGATAATGGCTCAACCCGTTGGTGACGCATGTCACTGGGATCCATTGAATTTCGTTTGGACTTCGACTTAGAAGGCTTAATGGAGTCTGAGATGGAAGACTTATGCTTTCCTGAAGCTTGTATCTTAGATCCCGGTCTTGACCTTGAATCATTTGTCGGGAATACTGATGAAGCCCATCCACAACTATCTTCCTCGCAAGCTCTGGCTGCCTCCCTGAGAAAAGACATCACCTATGAGCATCCCCCCAGAAGTAATACACTACAGATTGGATGGGCTTAGGCCCCTTTGGCTCACTAACAAATATAATAAAATACACACGGAAAAAAAATTCAACCACCATTTTTTATTTTATTGTAAAAAATATGATCACATTAATTCTACACCATTATTATAAATTAATGTTACCGAAAAATAGATTAGCCAACAAACAGCATAAAAATTTTCTTCTTTGATGTAAAGAGAATTCTACAAAGGAAGGAATACAATTGGGGGAAAAAAAAAAAAACATCAAAAAGCAAAAGAACGCACGCTTAATTGGACCATTCTTTTACGCATTTTCGCTCAATGTGTAAGGAAACAAAATATTAATGGGTGGACGTAAATCAGCAAAAGGAAAGATGATGGCAATTAGCTACATTAATGTAGAGACCATTAACTACTCTATGTTAATGAGGCCAAGAAACAGATAATTATAAGGTAAGGAAAAATGAATAACACCGTCCATGAAACACACAACAGTAACCTATGTTTTATTACCAGCACACACCCAAAAAAGAAGAAGTTAATGAGACATCAAAGCATAAAACAAATAATCATGCCATCGTATTCAGCCATACCTGAAGCGGTCCTCAGCAATAGATCCACAGGCTCTAAGATGATCATCTTCCCCATTTGGGTAAATTAACGATGGTAAGGGCTCTGTCCCCTGTATGGATAAATTTATAACAGAAGGAAACGAGATTAAGGTGTCACTCTCGTCTTTCGGGAATTCCACTGTCACATCCAGCTGATCAGTAGTCACTGGCACATCGTCACCCTGATTTGAGAGAGACATTTTATCATCCTGTTGCCTACTGCTGGTGTCATCAAGTGCAGCAGCTAATAACTTTCTGCTCTGGGCCAGATTAGTGACAATCATCCTTTCAGAAGGCTTCTTCAGAAGACTCTGAGAATTATGACCCATGGGAGTAAAGAAGCTATGATCAAAATAGTGGCCATTTTGTGCTGGGGGCGGATTTCGCGTTCGGTCAACACGTGATGCTGCCTTCCAGACAGAAGAAAGCAGAGCAAAAAAATGCTTCTGCAGTAATAACTCCCTATTTTCCTGCTCAGAAGCAACATCTAACAACACCCGAACATTATCCTGCCAGAATAATATATAAGTAACAAATTCCTCCTCAATTACCAAATTCAACAAAGTAATGTCAGATTTGAGTTTTTAAATATTATCCATATTCCAGATAAACAGCATTGGTAATATAATATCCAAATGATGACACGCAAATAGAAAACATGTGGAAATCAATATGAACATTTTAAAATTGCCATCTTTACCTCCGTCACTTTCAGAAGAGACTTTCCAGAGGCAGGATTGTTGCCCCTCTCATGATTAGCATTGTCTGCCGTTGACAAAACATATTTTTGAACTAGTTCTCTGAATCTCTCACAGCAATGGACAGGATGACGGTATCTGCCCCTGTATGATCCACCAGCAGTCATACCATAGAGTGTTTCGCTAACCAAACTCCAGTTAGAACCATATTCATGAACAATTGCACATAAAATTGCATCTTCCTGCGGCAGCCAATAATCAGCTGATGGAACCCCATCTTTGGACCAAGCATTACCCTTCTTCACCTTTTCTGGTTTTATTGTCAGGATCCGTTTGACGGGCATAGGGGTTATGGATATTTTCCCTCCCATTTTACTCCTGCTGGGAGGTTTCTGTTCAGATTCAACTGTGCCTTCACATTGCTTTGATTCTGCATGTTCATCTGGCAAACCTAACAAGGCATTATCTGAATCTGAAGCACAGATATCAGCAGCCCTCTTAGTCTTCTTGGACTTCTTTAGTGTCTTCTCTTCGCCATCAGCTATAAACTTAGGCTTTTTACGTTTTTTCTGAATAGTTAAATTTGGAGACACCAGGTCCAGACTAGCGACAACCTCATCATCTGTTAACATTGGGTCTGTCAGTGGTTCTTCTTTCATAGGTTTGGATTCAGAGGCTAAAGATCCTTTCTTCAAGGACTTAAACTTGGTCTTCTTGGGTTTCTTTTTAGGTCTGGGCTTAGAATCCTTTGGTGTTTGAATTCTGCCACAACATAAATAATACATCATCCTCAAGCATTTCTGAATTTAGGAAATCATTTATTCAAATTAATATTGACAATATATTCAAAATATGTTTCGGATATTTTAAATAACTGAGGGGACGGGGCAAGGACTATAAATGAAAACTTACTTTCCAGGATCACAATTTTCTTCATCAGCCTCTTCTTTCTGCTTGGCCTCATTCTCAAGTTCCTCCATTAACTACAGAAAAGGAAAAGCAAACATATTAACCATACGCACAAGAAGATGGATAAAGCAAACAATCTTGAAGTTCATCTAACTCACCTGATGTTGAGCCAAGGCCTCTACTTGCTGCCGATATGCCTCAGTTGCAAAATCAGCATCCCATCCTGACATCATATATAAAATCAATTTAATCTCAAGTTACGTCTGCTCAAAAGATAACTAGAAATCAAAAAATGCAACATGCCATCAGCAGCGCAAGGTCCAAATTTACTTAACAGTGATCACCAAACATCACTAGATAGATCCATCTATTAGGATGGTTTCGGCTGTGATGAACACAAATATGAAATTCGTTGCCATTATAACCTCGTATACCAGCTAAACTCAACAAGAGACAAGTAATTTAGCGCCTTTTATGATTGAATCACAGTCCAGCCCCATGACAACCACTGATCTTGATCCTTTGAAGTTGAACACTAGTGAAATTGAAGTTGAATACAACCATGACAACCACTGATCTTGATCCTTTGAAGTTGAACACTAGTGAAATTGAAGTTGAATACAAAGTATCATTACTGAGCATGTAGAACTGACACTTTGCATTCAATTTTAAAAAATATGTTCTCAGACAACCACCTTATATCTATTATATATAAATAATGATAATCTATCATGCTATGAAGCAAAAAGGTAAAAAGAGGCACATACTTTCATACACAAGAGGCTCTTCATCTTCATCAATTTCAGCTTCCATATCCTCCTTGTACTTCTCAATACGATCCAATTCCCATTCTGTATCCTCAAACCTGACTTCAGATTCCAAGGCTGCTTTATCTATAATTGGATCCCACATCTCCAGAAAACGAATGGCATACCGGTCAATTGGGCGTAGCTGGTTCTCAAAGGCTGAGATAGCTTGTCCAGCCGCTGCAGCCGCAGCAGCCATCTGTTTGACATCAGCCAGCACGTCAGCATCATCTTCTTTGATAGACACGGAGAGAGGTCTTTCTTCCTTAGGATCACTTGCAACTAACATTAATGCGTTCTCTTTACTTGGCTTAGAAACTGCTTCAGCTAATTCTGAAGGTTCATCGACTTTTGTATCGTCTTCATTCACATACTCATCCTCATCAAGCCTCCCAATGGCCTCTTCTGTAAACTCCTGGTTTTCCACAGCCTCTTCTAGTTCAACTTTCTTCAATGCCATATAATCTGCTTCATCTTCAGCATATTTCAATGCTGCCTCCACATCAGCATTACTTACAGAAACTTCATCCCCAATGATCTGGCTTTTCTCCTTCTGCACGTTTTTCACTTGAAGTGTTCTATGACCTGAAAATAATTCCATAGGATCAAGCTTCTTGAAAAATTCAGTATTATAACCCCCACTCTGTATAACTAAATCATCAAGTGCACGCTTTTGTTTTGCTTTCTTCAATATATTCTCTTCAATGGTGCTTTCACTTATCAATCTATAGATATGAACTTCGCGTGTCTGACCAATCCGATGGCATCTATCTTGAGCCTGCTGATCCATAGCAGGATTCCAGTCACTATCATAGAATATAACTGTGTCCGCTCCAACAAGATTGATACCAACACCACCACTTCGGGTTGACAAGATGAAAAGAAAAATTTTGGGGTTTGTGTTGAAACGTTGCATCAGGGTCTGCCTCTCTTCTGGTTGTGTTGATCCATCTAATCTCATATAAGTGTAACCATACAAATTAATGAAAGCCTCCAGTACATCAAGCATCTTTGTCATCTGTGTGAATATCAATGCTCGGTGACCTTCTGATTTCAATCTCCTCAACAGTCTTGCAAGTTCCTGCAGTTTGCCACAGTCAAATTGAATAAGACGCCTATCTGGGAAATACACCTGCCGTCTGACAATTGCTGGCCTAATTGGTGATAAAAGGGGTGACAAAACTTCAGAGCATTTCTGCTTGTATGATGGATGAAGAAACACTGGTGTTTCACTTCTACTGCACCAGCAAACAGGAGGTGAAGCTCGCGCTGCTGGAATTGCAAACATGAAACTTTCAACAACATCAACCATCCTTTCAAAACGTTCGACAGGTGAGAGGATAATGTCAGCTAGCTTTGAGGAATACACGTATGACCTAGGGTTAGCCTTCATATCGTGAATGTCATATACAGGATGCCTAATAGTAAGAAGATCCCGTAGGGTTGTTGAATAGACAGGCCTTTTTTTACATCTCAAGGAATTCCACCATGCAATGGCTGCTGCACGTTCCTTTGCTTCTCTCAGCCTCTCTTCCCAAATTGCCCGCTGAATTTCCTCAAATATGTTAGTTCCTTGAAAACTTTTCTGATCCTTCGATTTAGGCCTAATTACTTGCAGGCCATTCATATCAGCACGCTCCATGATTAAACTTGCAGGGGTTTCAATAGCTTTCACTTCATCACTCTCCCATGACGTCATGCTATGATCAAGATGAGTAAATAAAAATCCCAAACCTCTTAGGTCTACTGAAGAAAAGGGGCTAGTTGAGAACACTGAACACACAGCAGAACTTAGCTGAACATCAATGCCCCACATATCAAAAGAACTGATAATAGGACGACCTTCAAAAAGGTCAGGATGGTTGCAAACCTTACGGAGTTGCATTATGATACTAATCATCCCAAAAAAATTGGCACTCGCAAGAGTGGCTTGGGTCTCAGTACTAGCAATGAAGTCCTCGTACAAATTTCGCTGCCTTTTTGACAATCTACAGTATATGACATGCTCATGTTTCATTGGCAGTTGCTTCTCCACATCTCGTTTTAAGCGACGGAGTATGAATGGACGAAGGACATTGTGCAAGCGATCAATGACCTCCTTATTTACTTTTTCCTCCCCCTCCACCATCCCAGATATAGGATTACTGAACCAATCCTTAAACTCCTGATGAGACTGGAAAACATGAGGCATCAAGAAATGCATGAGAGACCAAAGTTCCATAAGATCATTCTGTAGCGGTGTGCCAGTCAAGAGAATACGTCGCTTTGAATTGAAATTCAAGAGGGTTTGCCATCTTTGTGACTTCCAATTTTTAATGAGATGAGCTTCATCTAAGATCAAGTATTTCCATTTCTTTCGCTTAAAGACTTTAGAATCCTGAATAATTAATCGATAAGTTGTTATGCACACATGGAATGAGTTTGGTTTCAACCATCCTTGTCTTTTAAGCTTCCGCTCTTTTGCACTTCCAAAATAAGTCAAAATCTTAAAAGCAGGACACCATTTGAGAAATTCAGTCTCCCAGTTAAGCATGACACTAGTTGGTACCACAATGAGATGTGGGCCCCAAATCCCTCTTTCACAAGCAAGATGTGCAAGCAAAGCTATAGTCATAATTGTTTTACCAAGCCCCATTTCATCAGCCAAAATCCCATTCAACCTTTTTTCATACATTGTTACGAGCCAATCCAATCCAATGTGTTGATACTCACGGAGAGGGTACTTGAGAAGAAAAGGGAATTTTGTGCGCACTTTAGTTGTGGAGAAGGTGTTTCCAGTTGGTTGTGCTGATCTTGCAGCAGCAGCTGCATCTGCTATCAGATCTTCACTATCCCTTCCCTCCGCATTTTCATGAGGCTCTTCCCAATGTTGTTCTTCAGTCTGGGACTGTACAAAAGCCATGTGCTCAACAGGCTTAACATCTTCATCCACAGAAACAGCAGGAACCTTCTTCCTATCATCTTCATGCAGTGAAGAATCCAAAAGATCTTCCGATAAAGAAGCAGCATCTTCAGAGTCATCCTCCCTATGTTTGCCACTGGAATACTATCAAAACAGATCGCATAAAAATTCAAACTTAGTAAATAAAATAAATAAATACATGAACGCCAACCGTCTAAACCATAAGCAAGAAATATAGATAGATAAAGCGTACCTTTCTATACATTGCAAGGAGTTCCTCAACGGGCATGTCACTCTCCCTTTGTAATAAAACAATCTACAAATAATAGCTTCATCATGGAGGGTAATAGCACAAAATATGCAAATAAAAAACAAAGCAGACTTGCTAGAACATATACTATCAACAATCCTGTCGTTATCGATAACTATGCCAACATAATGAAAAGAAAGGAAAGCTGACTAGTTCTTAACCTCATCCTTTGGATCAATTGCATCCATTTTTTCCAATTTTTCCTCCTCAGATAAGGTTGTTTCATCATCCTGAACATTTAATTGAGGTTAAAACACAATTTTCAATTGAATAATAGTCAAACAATAGGAACCCGGAAAAAGAAGAAGTAAATGCTCATAAATAGTTAAATAGAAGATTCAGCCCACAGTGCTAGTAACTTAAATTTGATGCAAAATCCAATCCAATACAGATGCATATGACAAAATTCCTGACTTCAGTTAAACTTCGATTAAGAGCTGTGACTAGGAAAAATGAAGTGCATGTGGATTTGGAGGAAACCAGAACCAATGAAGTTGGTCGCTTTACATCTGGTCATTTATCCACATAACTACCAGCTAAGCACATTTCCCCTCATTAGGACAGGTGAAGGTCAATTTCCCCTGCCTAAATATGGAAACAAGAGCAAGAGAAGGGAGATGGTCACTGTCCCATGGAGAGCCTCTACGTTGAAATGACTATAATACCCTTTATTTATTCAATTACCTTAGCATATATGTGCTTATAAAAGCAACTGTATTTAGAATTTATCCTAAGGAAATTCGGTGATTGTATATTTGAGTTTGTATCTGTTGTGACTTTTCAAATTTTACTTTATTGCTAATTTGCTATACAATTTTATAAAAATGGGGGTCCCACAGATCCCCATACCCCTGCAGGGAATGGGAGGAGGGATAGGAAGCAGGGAAGTCCTCCATACCTCGGCATTGCCGCCATCCTTAGTCAGACATATTGCAAAACAACATATGGTCTGTCAATACTAGAATGCTTAAATCCACCACAATTTGAGGAAAGCAGAGTGTACGTAAATGAGAGAATGAAAATAATGTTAATTGTGGGAACTGAAAAACAGCGAAATCATTAAGAACTCTAGGAACATTTAAAACGTATGTCATCCAGGACAACAGTATTAGTGGCTAAACACACAGCTGCTTAAGAATAAAAAACTTCCAAAAAAAAAAAGAAAGAAAAAGGAGACAAAAAGAGCATCTAGAAGACTGTATCAACGAACAACTGAGCTGATCTCATCAAAGATCTAAGTCAACTGAAATGGAAACAGTAAAATGATAGCAAAATATGAGCTAGGACATGGTAAACCACTTACATTATCTTCTGTGGCAAGCAAGAAGTCACCATCTTCCTGCCAATAATTCAAAAACAATTTTATGCAAGTTAATAGTTGAAATTTAGTCATCTACATGGGAAAAAGTGAAAAGAGGGGAGAACATCAAATCCATTGGGATATTGTTCTTTAGCTGAAACCCTAGACTATAAAGCATAACACATGTAGATGCAGCAGGCTGCAGGTGGTAACCAGTAAAGAATATTTATGTCAAAACCTAAGAGTATGCGAGACAAAACCGAACAATACCTACAATTATCTCAGGCTGACAGTAGATAGCAAAGACATCTAAATATGATAACGATTATGATAGACACAGAAGCACAAAAGTCAAATGCATGTCATGCAGGCAGAAAAAAGGAAGAAATATATGCACCAAATTCGTCAAGATATATCAAAATTAATCTGGTAAAAATTGTACAATTGACATTAAATTTCAGGCTTCCATTCCAGTAGTGTTGGACTTCATAATTGCTAACCCCGTTCAATTACTAAAATTTACAAAGCATAATTGGAATCATTAACATGTACAAATAAATTAGAAATTAAAAAAAAAGATGTTCTCTTACCTCTTCATCACTAAAGTCATATTCAGGATTTTCAGATTGACAAGTCTTATCTTTGGCTATATTCTCTGCTGGTGTAGTTAAGCCACCATTACTTTCATCCTGATATTACAAAATGAGCATTACAATTAAGTCCTTAACTTACTCTGCAATTCAAAAACGATTAAAAAAACACATACAACTTACACAACGACGACCAGAGACCATGCTGGAGTTGCTCGAGTCAAGCTTGTTAACAGATAAAAAACTGTCTCCATTTTCTGCAGTACGTCAAAATGACCCATGTTAGAAGCAACCATGACTTCTACAAAAGGTTTGTGGGAGGAAAAAAAGGAGCTTGTCCTTACCATTTCCATCACCGGCTCTGACTTCTTTATTGTCATCATCACTGTGCTCTGGACTACTTTCTTGCCTAACTGGTCCTGCTAATCGTTTCAAAATAGTGCCATAAGACCAGGTAAAAAGGATAAGCACACAGTTGACAGAGAAAAGGGAAAAGGTTACATGAGATTAAGTTCTTACTTTCCCGTCATAAATTGGAAAAAAGCAGTAACGGAGAATGAAACTCAGTTGTTTGGACTACCAAAAAATAACCTACAAGAATGACAGCCCAAGCAACTAAATCCTCTAATGGTCTGCTCCAAACCATCATATTTACAACAAAGCTTCTACTGACACTTTCACTATACTGACATAAAATATACATTCTAATCACAAAAATAAGAACCAAATTGGATATAAAATAAAGAATTACTGGTTTTCTTTTCCAGAGGTAGAATCGGCCTCCCTTCAAGAGACCAACCCGGCACTCCACAAAAATAAAGAGGTAGGTTTCATGATAAGCTCACCTCTCTCTCCAGAATAACGTTTCAGTAACTCCTCAAGGGGAAGATCAACTTCATCATGCAAAGCTGCCAACTCCTCTTGCCTTTCTTCTTCAGTTATAAGCGCCTCATCTTCCTCAAGGGTTTGCTCATCATCCTCCTGGAAACAGTACCATCATTTAGCATAAATTCATACACCAACATAAATCAACCCCACACATTAAAGCAACAGAAAAAAAATATAAGATCCAAAACACAAAACATGAGAAAAAATGGCTTCAACTTGCAAATAGAATGTAGAGCACACCATTTAAAAAAATAAATAAAAGGATATTATAAAATGCATTTTGTGGGACAAAATATAACAACACGAGGTATAACATACTCACTTTTATTGACTGTCTAACAAAGATCATAATAAAACAGTGATTATAGTGGAGAAGCCTCATTTATCCGTTGCATCCATAAGTGGTTATATTCTGTCTTTCGGAAGACCAACTTACTACTCTCATTGTCATTTGGCAACAACCTTGTATTTACCCCTTCCAAAGACTATGGGCTCAGAAGAAACAGCAAACTCTACAAGATTTCCCGTGAGTCCATGACAATAACATGGAACTTGATATTAAGTAATTAGAAAATGGAAAATCATTATCTCTGTTCAGCTTTCTGGAAGCCACAAGATGCATACACAGAAAGCACCAATAAACTCTATAGAGCTAGAGAAAATACTTTGATACTACAATAAAGAAGAAAGCAGAGAAGAGTAATCCCCACCGATTCATCATCAGATTGTACATCGTATTCTTCATCATTGTCAATAGGATCTGACTGAAACTCTGCTATAAATGGATTAAGTAAATTTAGTAAAAGAAGTGAATGTTCCCTGTAACTTTGAATATATGCTTCTCTACCCACCAGCATTAGCTTCATCAGATTTGTCGATAACATCTTCATCTACTTCCTTGTATTGGGCACCCCTATGATGCTCTGGTGACTGTTTCTCAACTGGTTTAATAGCATCCACAAGATTTTCTGCCAACATGGTTGAGTATCTAAAATATAGATCAAGAAGAAAATATCAACAGGCTTAATTGATTGCCAAATGCCGCAGACAAGATTTAAAACAAAAAAACAAAAATCAAAAGAATACCTTTCAGTTTGACCTAAAAGAAACTCAAGCTGTTTGTCAAGTGCCTTTTTCTTTTTCTCATCAAGCTCCATCTGATGCTTGTAAAGAACCTAAAACAACAAATTAGGTCAAAGAACAATCGGATATCATCATAAGGATAGATGAAAAATCAAACACATAACTATAAATGCATTACCAGCTTCTCTATTTTCATCCAAAATTTCTTAACATCCTTTGAAATATTTAGTGCAACTTTCCGTAATCGCTGCTCTTCTTCCTGAAAATATGTGTCCAGGCGCATATAAATCAGCTCACATCACAATTTTATCAGTGAAAAAAGAAAAAAAATTCAGATGTCAACTCTGCTTTCTGCAGGTTCAATCAATTCGATTAGAATATCAGTAACAGTCACGGGTTTTCATTCATAAGAGATTTGAAGTTTGAACCTTCATCTTCTTTTCACCTCTTGTAGCCGGATCTAACATGCCCTTGCTAGCTCTAAAAGCAACTTTTTTTGCCTGAGCCAACTTCCATTTCCTCTCTGACTCAAAGTCCTGCCAAGCAAACATATAACATGGTTTATCATATCATTTAAATGACATCACATCGAACTTGTCAGATTTTTATCATCAAATTAATGAATACCTTTGATAACCACACCATCTCTTCTATGACATGATCCCAGTGAGTTTTAGGGCGTCGAGGCTCCCTTGGAGCCTCAAGTGCCTGAAACAGAAACAAAATCATACATCAAGAAGGAAAATAGGGCAGATAAACAAAATTGTAGAAAACTGAGCAGCCAAAAACAGTCTCATTTGAGAACAATAAAATATTACTAGAGCAATCCTTCTGGCACTCAAACCAAATAAGTCATGCATATTAATTAGCATGGCGCACTTGAAACTATACAGCATGCTTAAATCTCTACTTGATGAGGTTTTCATTTAAAACAGTCCAGTAAAAGACAACTTAAAATCAACAAGCATGTCACATGCAGTATGTATGTTTAGTCTCTCAAGTTAATCAAATATTGCATACAAATGAGTCTCACTACAGTTTAAATAACCCTGCTACCCACAATATTTTGTTGCAAATTTTCTGATACTGCAAAAGTTTTACTTCCACACAGACATCATCTCATTATGCTAGCCAAAATCATGCTGAGCTGAATGTGATTAACTCCTTTTATCAAAAGCACATGCTGATTTCGCCATAGTGGTAGAAGTATATTTATCTTTATAGCCGAATGAAAAAATGTGTAGTAATATCGCCTTGGACTGCTCTTCTCATATGCATGTTCATTTTCCTATTAAAATCGATGCAAGGAGATCAGAAGTCACATATAGCTAGTACTATTTGCTCCTCAATAATGGCTTTCTGCTTAATAAAATGTACTGAATTACATCTATATTGCTCCCACCACCAAAATACCATCTAGTGACAATTTTAGTACAAGTAAACCAAGACAGACCAGTACTTGCTATATGAACAAGACGGAGAGGACGGTAGGATGAGGTCGATACCAGGGACTTCAATTTTATTCAGAACCAACTTTACTGAGATTGTAGCTGGGGGAAAAATCCTCACGCAATTGCACGGCACAATGCACGATGCCATTAACAAGTTTCAAGTATTTAAATGTTTTTTTTTTGGGAAAAAATGTGAGCGTGGAAACTACGAATAAACACAAACTTACCTTTTGCCGCTTTGCTCTACTTTCGTGATCAATCTTAGACCTCGGACCTTTTGACGCCATCAGCTCTCTAACTTGTAGCAGAACTCAAGTGCAAATCATCTGTTTCTTAACATCAATGGGAAGCATCAGCTTCAGCTGAGAATTTATTTAAGCTCGCGAAAGTAGCTTAAAACGCAATGGCAAGGACCCTTCTCGAGCAACAATGCGCGGTGAAGCAAGGAAAGGCTCAAGAATTACAGTATCAAAGGAGTCAAAAAGGGCCAGAGATAACTGCGCTCAGCAATCTGTCTGAAACTACGCAGCTTCAGGGAAGGGAAGAAGTTAAATTTAAGGAATCATTCCAGTTCCTTATCCCACCACAAGAAAAAGAAAAGCCTTCAGTTCTGAGCTTTCCCGTAAAACAAATAAGGCGCAGTTCCCTGAGCTGACCTTTCCAAATATTTAGTCGCACTCTTTTCCTTTCACTGCCAGCACTTTTCCGATCTAAGACCAGTGCAATAAATGTTATCACCCGCCAATTTTTCTTCAGGGAAAGTAAAGATTATGTAAAAAAGAAAATGGTGGGAGTGAAAAATGCGCGAGATAGAGAGTCTTCGGGCTATCGTCAACGGAAGTTTAGGGTTTGTAACGGGGTTTAAACGCGGTGGATTCAGGAAGAGGAGCATCAGTCCCGGATCCGAATAGCTAAAACCGAAGAAAGTTGAAGGCAGAGCCTCCAGATGTTTGGTGGGGAAATGGAATTTCTTGTCAGGGAATAAAGGTGTTATTAAAAAAAAAAAATCGTGACGTGTTCGGGGATGAAAATACACGTTGAAGGGATGGGAGATCTAACGGTTGGAACTCACTAGAAAGCCATGGGAGACGTAAATTGCGTTTCGTAACGGGAGACTCTCGATGAAGGAGAAGCGATGGTCGATTACTTTCAAGAAGCAGAGATGTCTCTCTGCAGAGGACCGTACTCGATAATTCCACGCAACAATTTCTTCCGAGCTTGTTTTATCCCCCCTTTTTTATAATTGGAATCAAGTAATACAAATTAAAAAAAAAAACGCAGATTAGCAAAACAATGGTGTGTGCATGCCTTGGCAAAACGTGTGTGGAGTGTGTGTTTTTAGAAACGAGTTTCTAAAATCAAACATAATTGTTCGTGGCTATAAATGAATTTTATTATAATATTGGTACTGATTAATTGAATGATCATTCCAACGTTGGGCCTAAAAAATATATCATTCCAACAACATGCCTCACTTAGAGGCGCGAGACAGAATGTTTTACCAGTTTTACTAATAAATTCTAACACTGCATGTTTTTAGATATATTTTTTCAAATGCATATATGACACTAGGTTTGGTTGCAAAAGTTATTATCTCACCAGCAATATTTTTTAAAAGTAATCATATTTGATGTATTATTAGACATTAACTATGAACACCTATCTCAATAAGGATTCAAATCCTGATTCGTCATATGGTAAAGAATCAGTTTTTTCTGTTAGATTTGACTATTTTTAGTATCTCATCAACAACATATTGAATAACTTCTTTAAAGACAAAGTGAGGTTTTTTTACTAATAATTGATTGATGAGTCTGACAGGAATGACTAATTCTTTATAATGTGATGAATTAATGTTTAAATTTTTATTAAAAAAGATATCCGCATTTAGTACCTACAATGCTTAAAATAAGACTAGCTTTATTGAGAGGATGCCCTGTATGCAGAAAAGAATGAGGTTTTTTTTTTGTTAGGCTTAGAATATTTATTGTCGTTAGCAATAATTAATCCCCTCGCATTGTAGAATTTTTGAAGAGATTTGAGTACCCATAACAAGATGCTTTTCATATCTACTGTTAGAGATTGAACCCCCAACTAGATATTTCAAAAACCTGGCTAAATACCAATTGTGTTAGACCTTGTCGTTGCGAGACTTTCTTTTAAAATGCACTAACTGGTCATCAAGCTCAAAGCGGCTAGGCTGTTTACTTAAATAATATAATTAATTTAACCAGCAACAACTAAAAAAGCTTAAATATCATCTATTTGAAATTTGGTTGTAAATAACGCTCAATCACATCAGGTATAGCTTACTGGTTTTTTTTTCCTTGTTTTTTTGGACAACGTATAGCTTACTGATGTTGTTGTAACTTAAATACCATCCGATTGATCTGATCCAATAATCCTGTTTGCATATCCTTAATCTATTCAGATGTCCAGCAAAGGTGAAACATTTTATGCTATGTTTATATTTTTGTTTAGGTGTCGCCGAATGCACATTCATCGGGAATTGGGGGACTCAAAACTGGAGATGGTAGCACTTAAATATTGGCTAGTTACTAGCAGTTCTTTTCCCCCTCTCAATGAAGCATAATCATGGTTCGAAACTACAGCTGAGCATTTTTTCCTTCTCTTTTTCCCTTTCACATCTTTTCAGGTGACCCATCTGGTCTTGTTTTTTTTTTTGGCCAAACGACCTGGATTATTAGTATTTTAACTTAAAAGCTAAAAACACAAAAATAAAATAATAAAAATTGAACAACACATGAACAGTGACTCATGTTTGCCTCATTGAAGTTTGAATTTCGGATTTGGGAATTGCGAGCATTCCTCGCATGAGCAATTCAGAAAAAGAAATGCAGTAGATAATCCGTATTTGAAAAAATACACGTGTTAAGCTGGAGATTTCACAGATCTGCCGCAGTAAACTCCGAGAAACAGAACAGGAATAAGCTTGGCAGCTGACGTCGCTTGTTAGCACTTAGCAGCGGTCAGCGGCAGTCATGAGCGGCCCCTCCTATGGGCTCTCGGTTACAGCAGAGTTCGGGAAATTATCATTTACGACAGCAGCATACTGAAACGCCCCAATCAGATGCAATTGGTTTTGGCGGAATCTCAGCCCAATTATTGCCCTCTTCAAAATTCCAATTTCCCTCAGGCACCTCTATAAATTATTTTTCTCATCTTTGCTTGGCTATCTCCTCACGGGGTTAGGGTTTTGCCTCCACTTAAGGCAATTCCAATGAAGGCTTCTCTCAAATTCCGCGACGAACAAAGGCCGCTTTTCAGAGCCAAAGTTCCTCTCAACGTCCTGGGCTTGCCGTTCCAATCCGGCATAGTAGCTGGCGAGTCCAAGGAGCTCACTCTCAATCTTGGCACCTTCTTCGAATCTGGCCCGTCCCTCAGGATCGCCTACCGTCCCAATGATTCTTTCAATCCCTTTTCCCTCATACTCAAGACAGGGACAGGGCCATTCGGTTCGCCTTTCTCCAGTTCCATGTTGATGAGTGCCGAGTTCAATTTACTGGGTCGTGGAAATGGGAATCCTACTTTCATGCTCCATTTCAAACCTCGATTTGGGGATTTTTCTTTCAAGAAGTCGCAGTCTTCGATTTTTGATCCCAAAGTCTTCGGTTCCCAGAATGGCACCGCCTCGGATGATGACGGGTCTGTTGAGGCGGTGGACTCGCCGGTGATGAACTCGTTCTCTGGCCAGAAAATTTCGATGCTGGCTACTCGCTCTCCGTCTGCCGGTGCCATTTCCAATCTGTTCTCCGGCATGGAGGTGACAGCAAGGACAACAATCCCGGTTAAAGGACGAGCCGTGGTGAACTTCCGATGGGGTGTCCGTGTACCGGCGGAGCTGAAGTGTCGTGATAACGTGACGGCTGGGATAGCGTTTCAGAAGATTCCGTTCCTGGTGATGGATAAGATTGGAGTCGAGCACGTGGACAGCGGAGGTTCAAAGGGGAAAGGTAGTAAAAGAGCGGGCCCCGATTCGGCATTGCCGGGAAATGCTGACGTGGCAGAGGCCTGTCTCAAAGTGAAACGGCAATTGGAAGTTTTGCAAGCTGAGAATGGATTACTGAGGAATGCCGTGGAAGATCTCCGGAGGGAAATATGCGGCTTCAGCTCTATTGGAGGATCAGATTTCGGCAAGTACAGAGAAGTTGAGAGGAATGGGATGAAATCTTGCAATGGCAAGATCGATCGACGTAACAACGAGAAGAAAAGGTCGGATTTTGACAGTTTTCCTCCAAAGTCGCCGGAAGCTGATGTTAGTGAAGAATTAAAGAAGGCTCTGAAGGGTGCTGCTGGCACTTAAATTCGTTGACATCTTGGCCAAAGATCGTGTCTTCTTTCTCATTTTCTGGGCACAATCTTTGATGTTATCATGACATAGCTTTTTAAGTTTCAGATCAGATGAGTATTATATTGTGTGCCTTTTCCTGTCCTGCTGGTTTCCTTAATCATGTGATATACGAGTGCTCGGAACTGGGAAGCTTTTGGGTGTTTGGTGCCTTTATGCATAACTCAAAACGTATGATGTTAACAAAGGTACTTGTAAAAATGATGAATTTAATGTTACTACCTTTTTAGCGGGTGTTCTATGTTTAGCTTTCAACACGGGATTACAAATATAATCAGAAATTTGAATCCGCGACGTGAGAAATTAGCAGTTCCGTTCAAAACGCAACATTACCTTACTCCAGATGTCATTACATGATTCATCCAGCTTGGTGCGAACGAATTCTTTTAAAATTTGAGTCAGCATCCCGCAATACCTTCACGGCCCAGTCCCGGTGCCTCTGATGTGAGCTCTGACGCGTTTGACTAAACACTTATTCCATGGTGAAGGCATTATCCAGCTGCCGCAGTCTTGCAGAGGATCGTTAGGCGAACTAGAACCCATCGGAATTCTAATTGTTGGTAACCGGATATTTCACGGAAATATCAGAGCTGTCACCTTCTAAGAGGGACGTCCACGGATCACAGATGTCCTGAACTGGAATGATCTTCTAACTTTTTTTCATTTTGTGACTATCTGGTTTGCTTCTTGAGGCAAAGTTCGATGCACTGTGATGTTTATGAGTTTGTCGCCTTTCTACGTGATTACATTAAGTCGATGCACCAGGATGATTTTTTTTCTCCCGACAAGATGAATCCCTATATCCGTAAACAAATCAAATTTACAGTTGCATAAAGACTTGAAAATTTGATGTTGCCCTCTATACACGTGAATTCTTCGTGTTCTTGGTAGCCACTGGGACACCAAAATTGAGTCAGAACTCACATGCATCAGGTGGCCGATTGTTTCGTGGGCGATATATGAGCTTGGCTTGATCCTTCCCAGGGCATCACTTGCCTCACAATTTGACTTCACAAGAGCTTGAAGGTTCGTGGACATTTTTCTCAACATGCAGCTCCCGTGCTCTCATCCCCTATCCATTAGTTGCCGAGTAGGGGTGTTCTCCATCTGCAAATAAAGCACATAGGATATAAGTATAACGTAAAAGCACAGGGATGCTCCTCGTCTGCCACTTTTATAAGGTACTTCCCATTATCAGATATGCACTCGAATCAGAGCGTCCACACATGATTTTCCAAACATTCCCTCCCCCCTTTCTAGGTTCTTAGCTAAATGATAAAGTTACCAAAGTATTTTGTTATGGCAGTACAATAAATTTCTGATTTTCTCCCCCAGAAGGAGCAGCAACATAATGAAGCCATCTATATATCACCACTTTCACCATCAGATGCATCTGCTAGCTTTGCAATTGCGTCCACAAGGGCTTGTTCATGCTCCTGCACAGGCAACAATCAGGAGTGAATACTAACATGGGAACAAGTTCTGAATTGAACTTCAAAGTGGTCAGCAACAGTACTTTCAGCATTTCCTTTGCCCTCTCCAGTTCCGTAGGATCTGGGTCACTCTCAGCTATAACCCTCTCCACCTGTTAAAGCAACATCAATTTTTTTAAACAAAAAAGAAATGTTTTAATAAATTTCTTGATATGAATGAAATTGCTTGAAAATGAAATATACCTCCTCAACCAGTAAATCTGTGTCCGGCAATTCAACATCATCTAAAACTCTGTTTCCAATAACATCCTGTGGTGGGAGAAACTCTTTTCCGGGATGAACCCTAGGATGTCCTCTCCCTCTTCCAGCAGCCACAGTATTACCACAACGGCTATGGTATTTCTTGACTCCACGACCTTGCCCACTATGCCTGCCTCTATGGGTCATGGCTGGATCTTGATCTTCCCATTGTATATCCTCAGGTGAGATCTGTAATATAGTATAAACATCATTAAATATAAAAGATCATCATTTTGGACCATATCAGATGCATACTAAGTTATTTTAATTTATGAAGCAACTTTGTTATTTTATTCAATCAGGACCAACTACTAACTAAACAGAAAACATGATTTATTCTGCATAAAGAGCTATCTCGCATAAGTGATGAAAATGAAGATATAGTCGTATCTTATTCATTTGCTTAGTTAATACAAGCATTGAATGAACACTCGATGATTGTTCTTGGGCTTCAAGGGAGCATATCACCAGATGCAATGATCAATGCCGTCGCTACCTTTTATTACAAGTAGCAAGATTGATTAGCCCTCCTCTGTTTCAAAAAATGTGGGGGTACGCGCACTGTATGTAAAGTTTTCTTTTTCTTTTTCTCTCATTGTTTTGCCATCCACTGTATATAAAATTTGATATTATCAGTTTTGCTAATATATTTCTCAACTTTGCATCACCTAAGGTTACGGCTAAAGAGTAGATTAGTGACAGTTGTGCCATATGTAGGAAATACCTCTTTGAGGTCAACCCATTCCCAAGTCTCATTTGCTGTATTAATATCATAAACCAGAGCATGTCGACCCTGCAAATCATGGATGTTCAGAAAGGATAACTAAAACTGTCAAAGAAATACACACAGATGTCGGAATATTAAGTTTCCAGTGACATTTTCCCTTCTACTTCAGGACTAGCCTTTGGACCCTGACATCATATGTCAGACTCCAAAATCTGGATAACTAGTTAAGGTAGGCATAGGAAGTATATGTAAGGTATATGTACGCAATCAAGAATTTTGACAGCCATAGGGACCCAAACACACCTCGGCAGCATTATAGTCTGTTATGACAGCCTCATAAAAGTGATTGTCTTCAGGCCATCTAGTCCAAACCTTCTTTCCAATGTATGGATCAAAAGTTGCCACTTCAGCAGGTGCATTAGATGCAAGGACACTAGAAGAACTGCGATTAATGAAGTGCCTACCTCCAGCAGACCCTGAAGAAGGATAATGCATAGACTTCACCAAAGGCAAGCTAGGAAATGATTGACCCTGCTTCCAAAAATTGAAGATTAAAATCAAATTTGGCTCAATGCATGATTTTTCTCTATTCTTTAAAAAATTTGAATAGTTGTGCCAGGATCATGCTTTTTAACTCTTGCTCAAAGCAACTCCTTAACTTGCAGCTTAAAATGATAACTGCGCTGCATGGAGCTACAGATACTGCTTTCAAAGCTCATATAGCATAACATACAGAAGAAGATACCGATTGGGACGTCTTCTGTTTCTTATGGGAAGCTGAAACTGTTGGACTGGGTAAAAAGTCATAAACAGGTAGAGAATTGCTGCGCCTTGCAGGTTGATAACAACCAGTTTGTCTCCATTCCCTGTTTACAATCTCCATAATGTAAAATTGAGAAGAAAAAAAGACGGAAGCAGCAAAATTCTATCTGATTTTGGCCGCAAATCACAACTGTTGGAAGATGATATACCGTATGCGCCGGATAATTTCATCAGCATTAACCCTTGTGAGAAGCTCTCTGTGCTCATCATCTGAAACTCTCAATTCTTTTCTAAGCTCAGTTATCAAGCCTTCTTTCTCCTGATGAATTTTCATAAAATAGGGGAGATGAACCTTTTACAGGAGGAAAACACAGACAACATAAACAGCGTGGAAGGAAATGAAGATGTATATATACCCAAGTAAGAGCATCGGACTGAGCTTTAAAAGCACGTAGGACAGAAGAGTATGCTTCCTGCTCGAGCTGGTGAATCTGAGCTTCCATGTCACTGTGAATTTCGGGATGTTGAGAGAACCTACAGATTTTCCACTTTCTGGAATGTTGCTACCTCTCAGATTTCTATTTTGATTTGAGGCAGGAAAATCATCATCAGCGCCTTAAATTGATGGACCAGAAAATTCATACAAAGGCAACATATATGGTATGAATGAGAATTTCTAAAATATCTCAACATGTATTAATGCACACTTTGAACGTAGAAATGCTTTTACAAGTGACCACCGATCAACACTATTCCTTCAATAGACAAACAAGGGACACTTTAATCTTCTATACTATGTTCGTTGTCGTTGTCACGCACAGTCGATGATCTTTCCCTCTCTTTCTCATTTCTCTCTCTTTTGGAACTCTTAAGTTCGTATAAATTTTTGTACCTGGATTTCAATATTATGGCCAAGCCTAAAGTCCTTTAAACATATGAACCAAGCGACAAGTCTAATCAAAATACACTGCGAAAAAATAAAAGCAGGCTCCTGCTGCTCCAATTACTCACACCAAGTCTACTAGACAAGGAAAAGGAGGGGATCAAACTTCATAAAATCTAAGTTTTTCATGCATGGTATGTGCCCCTAAATTGGATTTCAGGAAATATGGTGTTTACGAATTGATGCTGCATGCACACGCTTAGCAATTGAAGGATTCCTATGTAAGCCATCGTTCAGTCTTTGACCACATACCAACCTTCTCAGACCTGGCACGCTTCATACCACATAAAAAATGACCCTAGAAAGAAATTTTCCCACGTAATTTGTGCTACTGGGGTCCATTTGCACCTATGTATAAGCTTAAGCTACATTACCAATGGAAGGATTCCATTTACAATTATAAAATCAGATTCATGTAGAACTGACGTGTTGATCAGTTTGTGACCAACTAAATCTAACAATACGAGCTAGAAGTCGGCCATCCATCACTAGAAGTTCCGAAACATTTAAATTTCAAGATAACTTGACAATTGACAACCTTGGAGATATCCTAGATCCCGAACTGTTTCCAAAAAGTTTCGACAAGCATTGCCACGAAAGAAGGCACCTCGTCCAACAACACAAATCGAATCAACCGAGTCAATTCAATAACCGCACAACAAATCAAGACAAAGCATTTCACCATATTTAGGACGGTTCTAACAAACGACTGGAGAGCGAAAAACTGCGTGTGGATATGGTACGAGGAACTCTCACCGCTACCGTGGGAAAGTTGATAATCCACGAAAAAGAAGCGCAATGTGAGCAAATAGGGATCGAGGCGAAGACAACGACGAGGTAGAAGGTTGTTGGTCGTAGGGAACAAAAAAGGAGTGGGACAGAAAGAGAGGAGCAGCAGGGGAAGTGGACAGGAAAGTGCGAGTTAGGGAGTGTGAGAGGAACATGTTGGGAGCGAAAGATGGCATTTTATAAGTGTTAATGAATCGCCGTCGTGTGTTGCTTCCCTTGTCTCTCGTAACCGCCTGTTGACCGCCACTGCTCCTTCCTCTACTTCAAACACTGGCCACGTCAACC